TATAACGCAGACACTTTGTATGGTCAGATAAAAATATACATTACAGAACGATTTGTAATTTGTGCTATTCTATACATTTTTATTTTTATTTTTTATTATTTATACACAAACACAACACATACCAGAGCATGGTTCAGCAGGCACAATAACAGTATGATCTATATAAAAAGAAAACATGAACAATTTTAATGAAAAATATACCAATTGATGACACTTTCGTATTTTATTTTCTATTATATACATACATAAAATATATATTATAAATATAAATTATACCTAAGTAGTATACACTATACATATATAATGTTAAACTTAAAAATTATGTTTCAGTTAGAAATTAATAAAAATCTTTAATTTTATAATTAACATTAGACATTTTGAACTACAATTGTTCCATAAATATTGTAAGATAAACCTCTTAAATATTGAAATGGTGTTATTCAGATCAATTTTCCACAATTCTTTTTATTTTGTTATCATGCTTCTTGTACTTTTACATCGAGGTGGACTTGATTCTCTCGGGGAACAATTGCAGTTTAGCTACCCCTCCCTATTTCGAAACTTATGTAACTCATCGAGTTAAGAACGATGGTGCAATCAGAATTTGTCGCTCTCACTTAGTTTCGAAGTTATGGCCTTCCAAAGTTTTCAATTTTACGTTTATATGCATGCGCGCAACACTACTATAATGCCGCGTGGAGGACCATTTTTGTTATTTTTTTGTACTTCCGTATTCTAACCTATTAAAAACGATGGTGCAATAATAATTTATTAAAAATAATCAAGAATAATTATTACAGAATAAAGTTAATATCACGGACGTATATACAGGACTGGGCACGAGTCGTTATCAGTGGAAAATTAGTGTCACGCTCGGGACCACAGGAATACACATTGCGCCATCTATTTGTGTTATATTTAATTGCGAAATTATTTAATTATTTTTATTTTTATTTTCATTTTTAATACTGAAATGGATGTATACCACAGACGTCCGTTACGTATATTTAAAAAATTTATGAAAATTTTCGTTTTAAAGTATTAAATTTACTACCAAATACTAACGTCGTTTATAGTATTTACTCCTACGCACACACATATACATTACATATGTACTTTGTACGTCCCTGTTATTACTATATTAAGGTTATCACCTTTTCATTTAAATCATTTTTATGTATTTTGTTCTTATGTGCCAAATATGTTATGGGAGTAGTACTTCGCTTAAGTGTTAAACGCCATGGTTCAGAATTATTTATATCAACTGGTGGTAACATATTGTCCTCGATATCAATCTTAAATAAAATGTTTAATTTAATATTTATCTACTCAGTATATTTAATTTAAGTTATTTTTCTGAAATTGGGTACCTGTGGTATAGCATCTGGTTTTAAATTTTTACGTTCCATTTGTAGCTAATAATAAGAAGAATGAAATAAAATAAGTTGTGACTTATAGTTATCCAATAAATTAAAAAAATATAAATATACACCTACAATATTGTAGCTTTGAAATGTTTTTCACATAGCTCCTATGTGAAATTTTATTTACATACTTTGTATTTATGGTCTGCAATAATGAATCCCATTTATCAAAAAAGATTTTTTGTTTTGGAAATCCAAATCTACAATTAATTAAACAAATTGCAATTTAATCATTCTAATTGCTTAGGTATAGTAATTAGAAATATTTCCCACAACTGTTCTATTAACGATTAAATGTATAATTTTAATACTACTTACGAAGATATGTTTTGTCCCTTTTTTGACCCACAATGGGGAAAAGAACAAAACTGTACCATATTTATTTAATTAAGGATAATAAAATAATAACAAAATAGCAATACTGAATAATTAATTTACATTTTATACATCATATATTATGCAAATTAATACATTAAGATACAATTTTTGGAGGGAAATCTCTTTATGTAAATAAAAAGGTTTAATATATTTATAACATGGGTGTAAAAGATACACACAATATTATTAGAATATTATAATATAATAAATGTTGATAGAAATAAAATGTATTTTGAAATAAACGACTAGTTGCTTTATTGTCCGCTAGATGTCAGCATAGACCATAGTGGGCCCACAGGCGTGACACTAATTTTCGAAAGGCTTATACAGTAAAGAGCGTTCGTGACCAGTCCTGTATATACGTCCGTGGTTAATATCAATTAAATGATAATAATAATACATTTAAAAATTTACAACAATTCAATTCGCGATTGAAAGGAAATATAGGTAGCGCACTAGTCGATACTAATGATAAGGCTAACGGGGAACAGGTTACGTACCACCTAGATCCCGCGACAAGTAGATCCCCGTACGTCAACTGGATCCCCTTGGACATTTAGAACCTCATAGACATATAGATCCCATACTAACTATAATCTCCTTCGTCATTTAAATACCCAGATTTTGGCGGTAATTTTAAAACTTATAAAAATACGTAAGTACTAATAAATATAGTTTAATTTATTCAACTATAAAATAGCATTTATAAATTAAAAATATTTATAAAATATAAACTATAGGAGTAAGGAGTAAGGGACGTTTATTTTTAGGTTTATCGGTTGAGGCTTAACCTGTCGACAGACGGACGCATTTTTCAACGCGATTGTATTAGTCAACTATTTAGAATTAAGGAAATTCCTCAAAATAGATATGAAAAAATCTATAAATTGTCAAAAAACGATGCTTGTATGTTGTGTCATATTATTGTCTTCGTTAATCGGTAATCCCTACCTTATCGAAATCCAAGTCTGAGCCGCCCAACATTTGCGACAATTATCATCACACAAACTCCCGAATATTCCGATGCCACCGTAGTGGCTGAAGTAAGGTATAATAATGTGCTCGGTGGACACAATTTGCAAAGGAGCTCCATACCTTAACAAATTGCTTAATATGTATTAATGTGTATTCTGATTTCTGGAGTCTAAACATATTATGTATTATAAATAAAAATTATAACATTTATTTGTAGGTACTAACCAATTTTTAATTTTTTTAATTTTAATAATAATATTAAGTGTTCAAATTCTCAAAATAATATACAATCATTGTATATGAAAAAATATGTTTTTTTTTGGTTTTTATAGAGACCTTAGTGGGCCGATTTTTTAGTATTCCGATAGACATTTTTGACCCAGTCCGGCCCTGTGTGAAGGGCGCGAATCACCATATATTATATTTGTTTTTGTGTCAAATTATTTAAACAGGCACAAGTAGCAAGCTTGAGAGTTTTTATACATATTATTATTATTATAGTTTTTACGAGCTTACTGCTCAAACGACGGTATAGCTATAGCTATATTTTATTCTGTCTGGCCAGGATGAGGGCCACATATTATTATACGTATCGTACTGTTTTGGCTTACGAGTTACGGTCCGTGCTTAATTATTATTTTATCTGTCGTTTTTTTACTGTAATACAGCAATATTTAAATACCGTTATGTTTTAGTTACCATTTTTTTGAGTTACATTTCTGTTGTTAGTAGTTATTTCAGCACACGCCCGTCACCCACACATATGTACACACACATTTACACACCCACCACACACTAGCCTTGCCGAGCAAGTCTTTGATAGTCTTGCTCGGTGAACCCGTCCACTTCGACCGAATTGCGAATACATGTAGGTATGCACTCATCATACATTCATACGCAGGTCTTTGGGGTGTGAGTGCGATACGAAGTATTGTGGATACCAAGGTCTATTGTTGTTCGTTTCCGGCTCAAACACTCGTTTTTAATAACCGTGTTTTAGCTACTAAAATTAAGGGTGTCAGAAATTAAAACAATTAGTTACACTTTAGATTCATTTATTAGGCATTAGAAAACATGAGATAAACATTAGGTACAAACAATACAAACAGCAGCTACAACACGTCGCGGAGCACATGAAAGTCGTGCACCGCGGTAGCTATTTTAATTTTAAACAACAGTAGAACACGTCCCGTCGGCGGAGCACATGACCGCGGTCGTGTGTATAAACAGAAGGAGGCAGAAATACAACCAAATAGAACCCGAGGAGGTGGCTATCAGCGGGACCACGCTATCAACTGTAAGTATAGAAATTATATATAGGTACCTACTTGACAACAGAAAATATTTTACAGTTTAGGTGGTATGTTGGAACGTACCTCAATTTTATAATTGTTGACGACATTTAAACGATGGTCATGACTTTCGTCATAAGCCCAGTCAGACATTATTTTCTTTGATCTTACCCTATACACCATTTGCATGTGTGGTGGTAAGTCACGATATGCATTGTAATTTGTCCCCGCAAACTTAACAGGCTCTGTAAATAAAATAAAAAATTAAACGACAATATAGAAAAAACTTGTGTTGATATAGTTTTTGTCGTGCTTCTTTTTTTGCTTATTATAATATTTTTAAGTTCTTATATGAATGCTCAGGTATATGAAGTATTTAAGTGCTTTTTTTATGTATAGGTGCTCTAAATCCCGAACCCCGGTTATGACTGTTATGAGTGTATATACAATTTTACAATTTGAAAATTCACATATCCGACATGTTCTTAACTTTGTTGTATAATAGGTCAAATCACCCTAAAACTAAAGATAACAACACAAGGTCGGTTCTGCTAAACACACATTATGTATGTTGAGCGTGGGTTAGAGAGAGAAAAAAAAACTGTACAGACATCCTCTTAATAACAACTGCAAAAATTACAAGAAATAATAATATAATATTATTATATACAATTTGTTTTAGCAACAAACCTACCCATAATATGACTAATAGAAAAATTAATTACGAAATAACAATATAAATACCTATATTAAAATACCCATACAAGTTACTAAAAAAACAAGTCCGTCTCTTCTCAAAATCGTTTTTCATACGCAATGATTTATCATATAGTTATTATATAAAAAAAATGCTAACATATCCATTACAGTGACTCAATAATGTGGTACACACAACACTTATACAGCAGTAGATTTTTAAACTATTTTAAAACTAAAAACAATTACCCTCATCCATCCAACCCTTGGAATTCATTATTTTTAGTTTCTTTATCAAACATTTTAATGTCGATGACATCCCATGGTTTTCCATAGACGATACAAGTTTATTGATATTTTTGTTCAAATCATATGACGTCTGGAAAAAAAACTATTTATATTAAACAATTTTTTCGTAGCAATTTGTTGTTACTTTTGATAATATTAGCCCAACTGATTGTAATATTATACACAAACAGTGCATTTGTAGTTCATAGTTGTTGTCATTTTTCTCTTTACCTAAATCTCCAATGCACTTGAGTATATACTTTTCTGGGAACGCGCCGTTTTTAAACAGTTCGCCAATAAATCTATCAAAAGTAATAATTTACATAAATAAAAATAACGAAAGTGTTAATTAAATAATACTAATTCAAAACACACCTGCAATTGCATATGGATCTTTTCTGGAAATTGAATAGAAAATTATTTAAAACGCCGGATAAACACTTCTTCGGTACCTGGTAAACAAATAATAGTATGCATAAGACAGTATTATTGAACCAACTTCTAAAAATTAGTAAACTTATTTTGAATTCAGAATTACATATAATTTCATACAGGATTTAGGAATAAAAATAAAACGTATAAAGGTATTTTAATAATATGTTGAGAACCATAGATGATAATAATCATAAGTCATAACAAAATATAATATGACAACATAACTATATTTACCATATTATCATTTTTCATTGTATCTTTTAATTTATTCAATTCTTCTTGATAGTTTGAATAAAAAACATCGTGACATTTTTTTAATAACACTTTTTGAAATGTTATTTCTGTACCGGTAGCAATAAGATTATTAAACTTGGAGTCATTGATCAAACGTGTACACATCTGAGCGTATATGTGTGTATAATTTTGTCTTTTTAAAGCCTAGATGGATATAACGATAATGCAATAGATAAAATAAAACGCAATGATAATATTATACAAGTTCAATTAGAAGTTAGAACTATAATCAATATTAATTTTATACACAATATACATACTCGATCAAATATTATATTTGTTATGTCATCGAGTAGTTTAACATTATTTATTGGCAAAGCCATCATTTTTTGTGTCATCTTAACCCAGTTGACATAATTTAAATGGTAAACAATCGATCTTACAGTATTTAACACTTGCTAAAATAATACAAATTAAAAAAAATTGATGATTAAAATGTATAAATATATAGAGACTAAATAACACTTAATATTGCATGAATAATAAATAAAAACTATTCTATCTCTAATTGTGTAAATTAATACACTATATATATATGCTTATGCTCATCCAGGCTGAATTTAGTTGAAAATAGCAATCTAATGACACATAGGTATCTTGTCTATATTCCTACCGTTTAATTGTGGTGCTGATTATTGTTTTCGTCAGGTTAGAATGTTGGATTAAATATTATGTAATAATGAACAATTTAACTTATTTATAACATATTATGAAAATTATATATAAAAGAAGCATTAAAATTTTATAAATGTGTAACATTGTGTATAACATTGAATACTTACATCAGAGTTATTTTTTTGTTCCAGCATAATTACTTTTTTTTCAATCTTATGAACCTCAGTCTTCAGTACAAACAAAAAACTGAAAATAAAATAAAGAAAATTATAAGAAAGAAACAGATTTAAATTTAATAATAATAATAAATGAATACAACATTTTATTTAGAAACTGATTGTAATAAAACTCAAATAATATGTTAAATCAAAAATTTAATTATTTACCACTTTGTATACGTATTATTATAGTCCTAACTTAATTTTTCATAATGGCTCAGATTTGTATTATTATTATAATAATCATTACAATATTACCATTAAAGAAATTACATTTTTCATACATTATATTATTACATTGAATTGGAAATCCATATAACTTAATACGAAACTAATAGATACATTTTAAACAGTGTTGAACTGTTGAAGAATAGATATTTCAATATTTGTGTTGAACTATATGAATAATATTGTAACAATTTTTTTAAATAAAATCAAAATTTTTTTTCATTCTTCCAAGTATTAGGTATTTTCAAGTCCAATTTATCTAATTGTTATTTAGTAAACCAAGTACAAAAAAATCAAGAATGCTCATCGATAAATATGGTCTGCAGACATACCTAGTTCGGAGTTTCGGACTCAAGATTATTTTTTCGGTAATATTATATTATAAATTGTAATCATGAAATACCTACTATTTACTACTTAGTACAATTATGATTATGCTAAAAAGTACTAATTCTATATAATTATCCATACAATTACAATATTACTGTCACATAAAATAATTAATGTACCTTACTTGTAGTTACTTGTGTATAGAGTATTAATTACTAGTTCGTATAATCTTCAGTTGACACGTAGGTATTAATCAATAGAAACGGACTTTACTGCAGGTCTGAACTCAATGACGATAGTTGGAAAATGAGTACTAAATACTAATGCAGGTATAATATATTTATATTATTATGTTGCCAAGTATTTGTTATTATACATAACACACCAATAGCAACCATTTAAATTACCTATATAGGTACTGCTTAATAACAATATTATACGCTAATGCAGGCCAAGTATTAAACTATACCTAGCAATTAACAATGGTTAAAAGCTCACTGAATAGGTATTAGGTGCACAACTTAAGTCACCCAAATGTCTATACTATATAGTTACTATATTTAGGAACTACCACAGAACAAGAACTGCAGTTTACTATAATACTATACTTTCTCGATCAATATATAGAACATTCGTGACTCGCTGCAGTGTATTGTGTACGCAGAAAACCATAAAACAACAAAATTATAAAGGTTATATTATTATAGTTTATATCTCAGACATCCTTGCGCCGAGGTGATGTTTGGATACGGCACTGTTAAAAAGTGTGCCGTCTTAACCTGCTTAAAGTGGGCAGATTGGTCCAGATTTGTCGAACAGAAATGTGCGGTTATTAGAGTCATATAAGAAAAAATGACCACATCAAGCTTTTAAAACTTTGTAAAATAAATATTAAATTTACCAACTTTAAAACTGAAGATGAAGTTTACAATCAAATTCATGAAGAGTTAATAAGTTTTTCAAATAACTGGGAATTTTTAAAAATGTCGATTGCAGATGAATATGAAATATTGAATTGGGAACTTAAAAATGACTAGGATGATTTGGAAGGTGTCTCTGAGAAAATAAGTGAAGTTAAGTGTAATAGTTGTAGAAACTGTTCACTGTGTTGTTACGAATTACTGATAAAATATAATTTATATAGCAACGCTTATCAAGTACTAACAGTTGCTTATAAGTATTTATTGTGTCTGCCTGTTACCCAAGTTGCCTGTGAACGATCTTTTTCTACTTTAAAGTATATAAAAAATCGGCTGATAAATAAACTTATCAATGAAAATACTGAAGCGTTTATGTTAATGTCAGTTGAAAAAGAAGTGTTGGTAAATATTGGTAATGATCATATAATTGATTTACTGTCACAAAAAAGGAATCTTCTTTCATCATGTCTTTAAAAGTTTAAAATGTGTTAACTTATTATTTATATTTAAAGCATAAAACTAATTATATAAGCTTAATTACTCTATATTCTTTTTGGTTTGTTTATTAGGCGTAAATAAATTATGATTTGTTATATAGAATTTCAAGCATAGTATATTGCTTATTTATATATTATTATAATTATGTTTAATAAATGGTTAATTTAACTTTTTTTTTTAATTGTTTAAAGAGAATACATAGATATAGGCGTAACTAGGCCTTTAGGCTTAGAAATTGAATTGAGATGAAGTCTCATAAAAAATATTGATACTGATTAAAAGTCTATTTATTTTTTTTATGTTCTCTTACATATAATATAAACTTAAGTCTAAAAGGTTAAGTAAATAAATAATTATAAAATAAATTTGTAGTGTTGGGGGGGGGGGGATAAAACATAACCCTTATATTATAGTAACGCCAATGCCATAAAGCGTAAACATTGAAATGTGGCCTGGTGTAATAAATTTTCCCGGCCTGAATTTTTCTCCCAGGCCGTCCCTGGCCACACAGTTATAAATTATAATCAATTATATTATCATAATGACATAATAGGTAGGTAATAAATAATTATATTATATTAATATTACATATCGATATCTACAATCTACTTAGGTACCTACTTAGTACATACATCAATATACCTACTTTACTAATATAATAGTTTTTATAATTATTTCATATTTGTGTTTTGTGTTGTAATATAAGTATTAAGTACTAAGCAGATATTATTATCTAATATGCGTCAGATTTGATGTCTATATTTTTCCATAATAAAATGTAAAAAAAGGTACTTAGATCACAACAACACTGTTCGACTGTTCCATAGACATATGTCTATGGACTGTTCTATATAAAATAAAATAGTTTAGTTACTGTCTACGTAGTACTTACTATGCATTATGCAGTACAATAAGTACAAATCATAAACCCATTACAATTTAAAATTACGACTTAATTTATAAATAAAAATAATAATACTAATTAGTAATTAAAATTAAAATTAATTTATAAACTCGCTGTGGTCGTTTTAATCCCCCGTCAATTAGATCCTATTGCGTCAGTTAGTCACCGAGATCTAGCTGTCGAGGGATCTATGTGACCGTTCACCCGGGGAACATGGTCGCCCGGTGGCCGAGGCCCGTGCTGTTTAGTCTACTTACTACTTTCTAGTTTCTACTTAGTTTACTTTGTCTACTTTCTAGTTTCTACTGCAAGCAGTAGTTGACGCTCACGCTAAGTTTATTGTAATAGAAGTTGGAGATTATGGTCGGTCTAGTGATAATGGGATTTTCAAAGAATCCTTATTTGGTAGACAATTAATTCAAAATAAATTAGATTTGCCAGCGCCCAGCACCCAAAAAAAATTGATCAAAATATTAATGAAGATTTCCCTTTTGTATTTGTTGACGATGAGGCTTACCTACTTTTACCTACTTTGATGAGACATTTCCCTCGTAGAAATTTAACAAACGAAAAACGTTTATGGTATATACAAGTATACAACTATCGACAATCCCGTGTGAGAAAAATAGTCGCATGTGCATTTGGAATTATGGTAAAAAGGTTTAACGTATTAGAAAATAAAATGCTAAACAGAACTGAAAAAACTGCAAAAATAACTCAGGCGATTTGTGTACTCCATAATTTAATTGTGACTAGAGTAGCTAACTTCCTTTGTACAACTCTTAATAAAATAGTTTTAAAAATAAAAAAATATACAGTGTATAGAAAATGAAAATATAAACATTCAGTTAAATTTTTATGTATATACAGTTTTTGGTTTTTTTTTTTTTTTTAATTACAACAAAATAAATGTAATTAATTGTATTAATTTCCTACCTGTGGAACTGTGGTTAACACTGTGGAATAGAACAAGCCTTATGGGTATTATTAATTAGTATTTTTGGACTACTATTAAGGTGATAATTATGATCATACATCATACAACTAATAATATAATATTCATATAATATTACAATAAATTACAATAAATTATTTATTAATTCGTATTTCGTGTGTGGTACTGTAGACCAGTACATGTACTATACACATCTTCCCCGTTGTAATAGTTCTGATGACTTCCACAAGGTAGCGCCTGTTCCGCTTTCAATCGCGAATATTGTCTTCGCCATCAGTGTCTGAATCGGACTCTGTTGTTTCGTCATTATTCTGTGGTGTGGCGAACCAGTGCCTTCGCCACATACTCCCTCCCCATGTCGGTCGCGCTCCCTGCGTTGGCAACACCGCTCGGCCCTCCGCGTCGTTCGCGCCCGCGAAGTGTCGGGCGGCTGCCAATTGTCATTTGTCACTCTCAGGCTGTGGTAACTTGATAGCGCAATTTTAGGTATTCTAGTTTATTACATCAAACTCGGGGAGCGCTACGGTCGCGGTTGTCTCAGTCACGTCCGCCGTGCATTCTTTTTCGCTCGTTTTCGCTGTTCGTGACAATATTTAAACGCGGAATAATTTTTGTATATTGTATTATTTTGAATTTTCATTTTTCCTAAAATGTAGATAATCTTGTGAACTTAGTACAGTGTTTAATTTATTTTTTTAATTTACCTATGTAGATACGTCATACGTAATATTGTAAATTTGTAAAGATGTCTAAGCATGCCTACAAATGCGTAATAGGCTGTGGTGTTAAAAGTAAGTCGTATTTTAGTTATATTATATTATGCTTTATACAGAACATTCATTTTTGCGTTTTAAAAATGTACCTATTGCCACTGTATACTACAATTTATATTAGTAAGTATCATGAATTCATAATGTTCATGTTCATTGTCAAGTACAAATTATTATTAATATCTTAGAATTTCCAATATTTATCTAAACTTTACCTGCCTAGGTAGGTACTTTTAAATGATTTTTATTACTTTTGGATATTAAAGTCGAGATAAACACATACAGGGCAATAATTTAAAATACCTATTATCTGTAATATAACTGTAATATATACTAAGTTGTATAGGTAAATATATTTTATTAACGGAAGTGGCTATTTCTAATAGCCACTTCCTTTATTAACAGTGAATACCTATCAATAATTATTTTAGGTGTACATTCACACCGATTTCCAAATCCCAAGAAATATTATGACTATTTCGAAAAATGGGTGAATATCATAGGTGGAGATTTACATAGTCTAGACCCCATGACTGTTTATAATAAAAAACGGATTTGTTCAATTCATTTCACCGAAAATGATACGTGTCCAGGCAGCAATAGATTGAAGAACAATGCTTTGCCAACTTTACATTTACCTAGTGAGTTAACATACTTATTTATTTATAATAATACTATAAATTACATGATTGTTATATAAATTTAAATGATTATTTTATAATGACAATATTTTTTTTTATTTTTTCAAAAAATTGACAGAATAATCAAACATATTATATTGTTTAGGTGTATATATTAGATACAGATCAGAATTTATTGATCATATGATATGAATTTTTTTTCCAGCGACAGAAGATTTGGGTGATTGTTCATCAGCTGCCACCGATCCAGTTGACTTAGATTTGTCTGGCATAAAACCCCTGGTTGAAAATGATTCTGCGGGTTTAATGTGTATGTATCTATGATAAATTATTTAATTTTTAATTTGAATACCTATTTGATTATTTCAGTTAACCTATTTTTTAATGTAGGTTTAAAAGTTAAAATTAAAACACTTTTATCTGGTTATAGGTACATTTATCTAACAGAATTGTCTATTTTGTTACAGATAATCATGTTGCTTGTTCATCAACTGCCACCGATCCAGTTGACTTAGATTTGTCTGGCATACAACCCCTGGTTGAAAATGATTCTGCGGGTTTGATGTGTATGTATCTATGATAAATTATTTAATTTTTAATTTGAATACCTATTTGATTATTTCAGTTAACCTATTTTTTTAATGTAGGTTTAAAAGTTAAAATTAAAACACTTTTATCCGGTTATAGGTACATTTATCTAACAGAATTGTCTATTTTGTTACAGATAACCATGTTGCTTGTTCATCAACTGCCACCGATCCAGTTGACTTAGATTTGTCTGGCATAAAACCCCTGGTTGAAAATGATTCTGCGGGTTTAATGTGTATGTATCTATGCTTAAATATTTAAATTTTATGCTATTACAATTGATTGCACACATCTATTTGCTTCTTGCTTACATTAGGCAAATTGCATGTTTAAATGCTTATTCCATGCTCTCATTTGCTTTGAACTGCTATTTATCTAGGCGCTGTGAATAATGTTAGTGGTGTAAAAAATACAAAATCGTCAATGAGAAAAAAACTTCATGCTGATAATGGTTATTTTTATATATTATTTTATTATCTAGATCATATTGTAGGTATTTCAATAATTACTTAGAGCAGTGGTTCCTAATCGGTTGGTAATTTTGGTACTGTAAAATGGAAAATATGGAATATAGTGAGATAAAATAACAAAAGAAACAAAGAAATATTGTTGTGTAATTAATGTATTGTTTTATTTATTTGCTATAGGGTGGGGGGGGGGTGCAGAATTCAAAAGGTAAACCACTGCTTTAGATAATATGAGAATTTAGTTGTGTTAAACAATTTATTTTGGATATGGCCACATTAGTATTGATATCACGTCCTTTGGATATTGAAATTAAATTTTTTTATATTTTATTATAGGGTTATTAAGAAGTATTAATGTTCACCGTGCAGCTGATTTGACTCCAAAATGTAGACAACTGTACAAAAAGGCTGTGCTTCTACAAAAGAGACTTCAAAACACTGATTTAAGCCGAAAACTTTTTAAAGATCGTCTAGATATGGCTCAAAAAGCAGCCGATAGTTTGCTGATTGACAAACTAAGTAAAAAAATGACTGTTTCAGCTTCACTTTTTACAAGAATTCAATTACGTGAAACTCATAAAAAATCCAATGGAAGACGGTTTTCTCTGGATGAAAAAGTGCTGAGTCTCTCTTTGTACAAACGAAGTCCACAATGCTATCGTTTACTATCAAAATTATTTACACTTCCCTGCCGAAGAACACTTACATCTTTATTGGCTAAAGTACCAATAAATACTGGAATTAGTACTGTTGTAATGAAAGTATTGAAAAATAATGTTGCCAAATTACCTCCGGCTCAAAAATATTGTTCGTTATTATTCGATGAAATGAGTATTAGTGCCGAATTACATTATAACGAAACGTTGGATAGGATCGAGGGGTTTGAAGATTATGGTTATGAAAGGACACAAAAATTTGCCGACCATGCATTAGTATTTATGATTCGGGGCATTACCAAAAAGTTTAAACAGCCAATTGCCTATTTCTTTTGTCAAGGATCAACAAGTAGTCATCGGCTTGTTAAATTGATCAAAGATATAGTTCCAAACTTGCATTCAACAGGGTTGCACATAGTAGCTACCATTAGTGATCAAGGGGCTACAAATGAAGCTGCCATAAAAATTTTACATGCTGACACAAAGGCCTATTATTTAAAAAAAAATGTTGAGTATCGAAATGATGTATATGAAATCCAACATAACCAAGAAAGGCTGAAAATAGTACATTTATTTGATCCACCTCACTTACTGAAAGGTACTTAATATTTATAATTTATTTACATTTTGTATTTATTAAAGTTATGATGTTTCATAGGAATACGGAATAATTTAATAACAAAAAACTTAATTTTCACCATGGATGATGAAAAATATGAAGCAAAATGGCAGCACATAATTGATTTATACAAGCTTGACAGTACAATTCCAAACGTCAAAATGTTACCGCGATTGACAGATTATCATGTTTTACCACAAAAAATTAGTAAAATGAAGGTAAAATGTGCAGCACAAGTTATGAGTGAACGCGTATCTTCTCTGATGGGATTTTTAGCTTGTAAATATTACACGATGTAATTTAATTACTTGACATTAATATGTTGTATTATTTTTAGCCAAAAACATAATCAATTCAGAAGCTCGAGGTACTGCAAGTTTGTGTTTAATGTTTGATCAGTTATTTGATTCAGTCAATGGGTCCTACGATAAAATTGTTGATGGTAAGAAGTACAGAACAGCAATTAAAAACAAGAGTCCTCATTTTGAATTGTGGGAAAAATACTTACCAGTCTTGAAGTCCATGGTTTTTGTAGACCCCAAAACTGGTAAACATCAGAGACCACCAACTATAAAAAATTGGGAAGTTACCATTAGAGGTTAGATTTTCTAAAATTGTTGATATTTTGAAAATTGTTTATAATTTTAAATTTTTTTATTTGTTTGTCTTTAGGTTTAAAAACTATTTATCAATATTTGCAAACAAAAGGCATCAAATCTATTCTTCCTCGAAATTGTAATCAAGATACATTAGAAAATTTTTTTGGTGCCTCCCGTAACATTGGATGTAGAAATGTTAATCCATCTTGCCATGCATTTGCATCTTCTTACAAAACTCTCTTGCTCAATAATTTGATGTCTACTCACTCTCCTGGAAATAATTGTGAAGAAGATTTTGCTAGCTCTTGCCTTTCCTCTTATCACGAGATTTTTATCAATTCAAACACAGAAAATAGTAATACTAATGAAAATATTGTCTGTCATGATTTTCCTCAAAAACCGTGTATTCAAAATCAACATGGAATTAATGTTGAATACCTAACATCTCAGACCCATACATATATATCTGGTTACATACTTAAAAAATTAAACTTACTTCTTTTAAAAAATTGTAGCTGCTTAGCACAATTATGCTCAACTCAATCTAATAACAATCACAATTTAATAACGGCTCGTGAATATTCCCAAACATTTATATCTTTAAAATACCCTAATAAAATATTTTGTTCTTTGGTACAAAAAGTCATTGACTTAGTAAGTGAAAAATTACCTACCATATGCCATACCTTAAATGTAAAAGCCACTCTTATAAATATAGTATCTGAACTTATAAATTTAAATATATTAAAATGTCAGTTACATGAACAAATGTTTGGTCAAATATTTTTAAATTTTACTATTAAATTTTTAATATACAATTGGTGTAACAGTGTGAACAAAATTTTAAATGGCAAACAATCTATAAATAAAAATGAAAACGATCACATTAAAATTTCAGCTTATGAACGTTATGTCAAATACTCAAAATATAAACACTTAAAAAACAGAAAGTTTTAGAATATCTTTAATAACCAAATTTTAAATACTCTTTTACTTACATAAATAATTTAACTCAAAATCATAACAACTTTTTAATTAAAAAAATACTATATGATAGTTTGTTAAGATTGAAAATTTTTATTATATACTCGTACTTATGTACTTTAATATTTATTAATAAAAAATATATATTATAGGTGTTTTATATTTAAAATGCTTAATTTATGATAATTTGTTAAGTTTGCAATTTATTATTATATACTTATGTACTTAAATATTTATATGTAGTTAAATATTTAATAAAAAAAAATGTTGTTGGTAATTATTAATTTGTCATTGGTATCACTTTCCTTTAGTTAATTCTGAATTTACGGGTTATTTATTTAATGTTAAATCATTTTCCTTTCCAAAATCAATTTCTTTGGTATCATATTGTTTATAGGTAATTCAGAGTAATATTTTCAAAATGGAATGCCACAAACATAATTTATTTTATAATATAGGCAGGAAATGAAATAAAAACGCATAGTGGAAGACGGAAGTGGATTAGTAAAATAAAATGGATTGTTGTGTTTAGATATCCACGTCAATACACTTAAATAAAACATTTTTCGATCAATCATCGTTCCGGTATGCGGTGCAGTGGTGATCCATGAGGATTCGGTGCGGACTAATCAGAGTTCGAGCCTTCCAACCGACTATAATTTTTTGATTTTTTTTTCCATGTTAGTTCTTCCACCAAACACGGACAGCGCTAGTGTGCTACCTAAAAACATTAACATTGAGTTGCCGTTCTATTTAGTATTCTTTTCTATGCACGACACCGTCCCGAGCACCGCCGCCATCTTTTTGCCACTGGAAAAAACATTCTTTTCCACACACGCCACGAGTTATCGCGCTCTAACAGTTCGCTCGAGAAACCGCCATCTTTTCCGTCCGCGTGCTCGCGTTACACGTTTTTAGTACTCAGCAACACGAGTCACGACCACAGGTCTCCCTCAAGTACACGACCCGTAACACGCACCCCGCGACGGACACCGGCGTACCTACTCTCATCGCGTAAAAATCCCGACCCGTGCGTCGGTACAGAACATCGAGACTCGACACCGTCCCCGCTGCTAGTGACCGGCATTGCCTCATCTAACTTTGTAATATTTACGTCCGACTAATAACAATAAATATTTATCTACTTCAAGCCGTCTCAGAGTACATTATTTCGTACCTTGTGTATGTTGGCCGCGTAAGTTGTAACATCCAAAAACCTACGCTCGCCACAATAGTTTTTGACTTTTTGTTTACATCCCGAGTGAGCTATCTGTTTTCATATAGTCTGTGATAATAATATTGAAGTTATACTATAACTATATTGACTATTGAGTATACACGTTTTCGGTTAATCATATTGTTCATTTTATACCTCTTGAGTATTGTTATTTTATATTTTTTTATTTCAATTTTTAATAATATCAATATTACTGTGCCTACACCGCGACGCCGTTGAACTCGACAAAGCCGTAGGACCGAAATCCACACCCGTCACACGGGCGCAGCTTTTTGTTTTGTTGTGATTCGTGGTCACTTGTCTTGTCGCTCGCGCCTCGCCGTATATTCGTGTTTCGCATCGAATCCTCCATCGACGGAACGCTGAGAATCGCTGCTTCTACTTCCAACGTCAACACGGTTAGTCATATAATTCATTTTGTACCTATTGATATATTGTTACTTTTATTTTATTATTTATATATTCAATAATAACGATATTAAACGCCGTTAAACTCAACAAAACAGTGGGATCACACGCACAAACTTTAATTGTTTCGTTGTCGTGATTCGTGATCGCGTGGTCATCTGTTGTCACTTGTCAGTTACTCAATTCGCAGTTCAACATTTGCCACTCGTCACGTCTTGTCAGTTTTCGATTGCGCCGTCCGCCATCGATGGAACACTGAGAATCTCTGCTCCTACTTCCTACGCCGACACAGCTACCGCGACATACCACGTACCGCCCGGAAAGCGACTATAGGTAAGAATTCTCACAAAATTCGTCTAAATCATAAACATTTGCAAATCATATTAAGTTTGCAGTTAGGTACTACACGTGTCGTATGCTATCTACTGGCGTATGCAATCTTCTCAAAACGATTGCTTGTGTCGTATGCTGTAGACGTAAACAAAAATATTTTATACAAATGTGTCTTTTATGTCTCTTAAATAACTTACTCTTACATATTTCCAAAAACATTAAATTGTATGTGTTTGAGCACCCGTATGGATTTATGAAGTTTGGTATGGTTGTGAAGAAAAATTGTAGATTGAACCAAATTGAATGATTAGGTAGGTACGGGGAAAAACGATAATAGTCAATATTCCTAAAATGTTCAGTATTTGGGACTCTGGTCTTTTTTCCCCGTTATGGTAATACTTATATGATACTTATAGGTATTATACCTATCATTGACCATGATCTTTTTTCCATAACTCGACTCACATGTCGATTTGAAACTAACCAAAAGGTACTATTATTATTTGATTTTTTTCTTTCTTTTGACTATGATATTTTTCCCCGTAACCCTTTAAATGTATAAACATTACCTCCCCAACCAGAATCTTGTTATTTTTTTATAGCGCTCAATTCCTGTAAATTCCTGTTATACCTGTTTACCCAGAAGTAGAACTGAATATGGTATGTAGCTTAGACACGTCACCCTAACCATATCTGGGGAAACTTTGACTTTCTAGGTAAACAGGTAGAGCAGGAATTATAAAAAGTTGACCATGTGAAGGTGAAATTCATAATATTATTCTTTAGTCAATGGTAGGATATATTCTAGTGTCTACTGTCTAGTCTTCATGAGTAATGAGTAGGGCTCGGATTTTTAAAGAAGCATTTTAAGTAGCAAAAAAAAGCAGAAAAGGCATTTAGGTATTAATTTATTTCTAAAAAAACAAATTTCAATTAGGTACACATAAAATTAAATTTAAAAAAAGGAATTTACAACCATAATTTAGTCAAGTTACATTCATTAAAACTCATTCTATTGGGTGCTAATATATTTTTATACATAGAAAAAGACATTTCCACGTCAACCGATGTAATTTGTGCATATTTCATATAAACTAAATCATTTTAATCATACTGTTCCACATTTACGTTTAGTCGAGCATTTAGTGCAGTGCCATTATGAATACTATTACCTTTTTGAAGTCCTGCCCATCCATTATACTTTGAAAAAACACTGTTGCACCTTTCTAAAATCAATTTCGCTACTTCGCCATTAGCTTCCTCTAACTTTTGTTATTCTTCTAACACAATACTTTTACCGGCCAACTACAGTATTAGAACGTGCAATAAAAATATGCAGGTATAATTCAGATAATTTTCCCTTTCCTTGAGTCGTAAATACAACTATAGATAATTGTAGATAAAACTATTTCGGCATAATAACCATAGTTATTTTATCAGTCATACATTAATTACTGGTTTTCCCACTGGTTTTATTATTTCTGATTATAATAATTAAGTCCAAGTTAAAGTATAATGTACATAGGTAGAAATAAGTTGAGTTTTCAAGAAAAGTATGTAAAACTTAAGAAAAAAGAACCAAATAGAGGAAAAAGCAATAAAAAGCAGGTTTTGAGGAAAAAGCAAAAAAAAAGCAAAACAAGGTTTACTTCATTAAAATCGGAACGATTCAAAACGTATTTGTGTATAAGAATTATCTTTGTATGGCACTCCCCTCAAAAGAATCATTTCCTACAAAAACCGAGCATTACTAATGAGTATACTCAACTTTGGTGTTATTGTAATAAATTATTATTAGTGTTCATAATAAAAATGACAATATACAATATGCTCAACATACGGTACATGTGCGTTGGATAAATTTAGATATAATGAACTTATTACGACTAACATACAATTCCCATCTTACATTCTTACTTCACAACTTCTGACTTAATTTATCCCAGTTGTCCCTACCAACATCGATTATTTATTTTGTATATTAGCCCATAGTTTAATACCATATCTTTGTCTAGAACTCACAAATTGATTTGAATTCAACTGCAGTAGGTAAGAAAATGATAGGTCTCGTACCTATTCTAAAAACTTATTTTAATTTAATCTGACTAATAATTTAATAATTTCTTAACATCAGCATTATGTTGTTTTTTACCCTGTCTAAACTCTAAAGCACCTAAATTTAGTATTAAGTTTTAACACAATGATGATAATTAAAATTAATCACAATTTTTAAAATATATTTAAAGTTGTTAGGCACATCAGTAAAAGAAATGGATACCATTCAGGCTTCATCTTGTGAAAATAATGTAAAGCAAATTCTGAAATCAAATGAATGTGAACCAACAAGTTTTAGAAATGACTCTCACTCTGTAAGAATACTGGAAAATTTACAATCTCTACGCAAGTATGTTTACAGTGATTTTACCTTCATTCAAAATAAATATCACTTACATTTTTGTTTTTAGAAATGAGTTTTTATGCGATGTTAGATTTGAAGCAGATGATGGTAAAATTGTAATTGGACATAAAAATGTACTAATAGCAGCTAGTCCATATTTCCGTGCAATGTTTAGTAATTTTGAAGAAAGCAATAAAGATCTTATCAATATAAGAAAATTAGATTCCTCAATTTTACAGCTATTAGTAGATTATATTTATACTGGAGAAATTATGGTCACAAAAGAAAATGTACAGGTAACTATAATTAAATATTTAATTTTATATAGACTTCAAACAACATAATATCATTTTATGTGAATTTTTTTTTATTTCTAAGGTGTTATTACCAGCTGCAGATGTATGGCAGTTAGATTATGTAAATGGTGTATGTGCTGAGTTTTTACAAAAACAACTGAATCCATCAAATTGTCTTGGTATCAGAGCGTTTGCTGACTTATATAACTGTACTGATTTGTTGTCAATTTCTGAATCATATATTAAACAAAATTTTTTGTATGATTAACATTTTTTAATTCTCCATATCAAGAGTAAGTAG